CCCCGTCCTGCAGGAAAACACGAATGGTACCGACCAAGAGTACCGGAGAGATACCCCGAAGAGCTGGTGTTGTTTTGTTCGATAACTTCTGTGCCCTATTCCCTTCCCTGACGCTCCTGGACTAACTGACTGCCCCAATCTTCCGTCCTGCCCCATACCGCCCTTGTGTGTGTACCGATGTGTGATGTATCCGCTGGGTACCACCAATATACGCATTAACCCAAATCGTTCACATCCCATGATTGATTATTGGATTACGTAAGTGTGCTCGCTGCGACTACCTTCTGTGTGTGAGAGAAGGAGCGAAGCGTGAGCATAGAACTATTTGGTTATGGCCGGGAATGCGCATAATCTGATCCTATTGCTGGTCCATTGTGGAGCTGCTCATCGCTGTCGGGATTGTAATCTCAATAAAATTCTAGAGCGGTTAGACTTGTAAATTAAAAAAACATATTTGCGTATATAAATTCAGAAAAAAAAGATTATCATGTAGATATAAAAAAACACAACCAGTACACACCTGAACAAGGCAATTGGTTTCCAGCGTACTTTCCCGAGATTCAGAAGACGGTTGTACTTTATCGGTCTGATTTTGCGTACTATCCGATTGCGCGTTTCCTGATGACGGAGAAACTGTCAAGGCTAAAAGTCGGGAAACAAATCGAAACTCCAGATACCGAGTCACATCGGCTCGCAGCAAAGCTGTGACGGTCGGACTTTCTGCATAGATAATCTAGAGAGTCAAAGACAAAACAGGGATCAGAATGGATCGGCAGACAATCATCGGGCTGAGTTACACACGAAACCGGTGTCATAGTTGACAAAATTCACCACCAGTTNCAGTTCATTTCAGTCAGCCAACACATCTTTTTGTTAGGCACTGCAAGATTTGACCGCAGCTGTCTAGACAACAAGTAGAAACCTGTTCATGATGTAACGAAAAGCCGTCATACACACATACAACACACTGAGTGGCAATTGACTTCGACTGTTTCACATCTTGGTATAAAGTTGCTATTCATACAAACTGTTAAACAACTACGAGGACGTGGAACGGATTTGAAAAGAACAAGACCAGTCGTTCTCTGATTGTATCAGATCAGATCAGCAATAAAGCTGAGGAATGAGTTCAGTTTGTACAGACCTTTAACCTGGCACCTTCCTCTGGCGGTTTTGGTTGCTCGTTTGGATGAACAGAACGAGAAAGACAGGAAGGTTGAGAGTAGGGTCTAACAGAAAACGAAGAAATTCAGTGGTCTAACTTTGCAAAGAAATTGAGAAGATGCACGAACGCTACTGTTTACGACACTCAGCCATATCACTCAGTGTCTCTAACCATCGGTTACCATCATCCCAAAATCTCCATCCAGGGAGCCTGACGGGACCTATTTGACCCAGTCTCCTGGTCAGAGTTTTCATACCCTCATGAGAGGTTTTAGCTTGACCAACCGGCAAACATCGCTCGCCGTGGCAACCTATTTGGTGACATGCGTAACACATGCCCCAACCAACGTTAACTATGAAGGTCGACCACTTGCTCCAGTGGGCGACCGCAATTACCGAAAAAAATGCGCTTAACCTCAGCATTGTTCGTCCGGCTACCCCACCAGGAAGGAAGGTGCGAAGTAGTGGCCAAGAAAACACAGAGATACAGATTGGTAACTGAAACCATGCCAAACACACAGAGACACAGATTCAATTGGTGGAGAGGGAGAAACAAATGTGGGTCTGTATGAGATTGGTTATATACAATCGATAAGTTAACCAGATCAACCATAAGACACTGAGCACTACACGGATTCCTAAAGCGGTTTTGAGCTTAAACAACAAATATGAAAGTTTGACCCGAAAACAGAAGAATATCAGCTCAATGAAGGAGGTCTTTCGAAAGGATTTCGTTACTTGGGATTCAAATCAACACACACACGATCGATGGTGTAAAGCTGCAAACAGTTTAACACCTAGCTGAAAATCATAAGCAATGAAAACCGTACTCTATTCGGATCGTTTTCTTTTCGTTTGGTGTCCGAGACGGAATGTATCTAAGGTAAGCGAGAACCTATTTCCCACCAAAGCCCCAAACAAACCAAACAAACAGGTTTGTTGAATGAACCCAGAAAACAAAAGAAAAACAAACGCGCACTAACCTTTGGCATCAGATCAAGGTCGACCCGGTGTAGCTTTTGCTCCAGACTTGCCCGAGTCCAGACTGATTTAGTCGAGTTCGAACCAGTTGAATCTAGGGCCGATTCGGTCGCGATTTCATTCCCGGTCCTGCGAGTCCCGGTGGTACCTTCTAGTCCGGTGTCCATCGGGGAAGACTCAGTGTGCATCGGATGCGTCTCATTGGCATCCTCGTTGAGGACAATCGCGGTGGACGGACCAAATGGTATAGAAGGTGCAGGTGTTGTAGAAATTCCGTTGAACTCCTCACTGAAAGAGTGCGTTATTGTTCCAAAGATAAGTCATAAAGTGCATTGAATAGTTCATGAATCTGTATAACAACTTCAAGAAGGTTACCTTTTTCAGCAGCCTATTGGGCACAACACACTCTCATTTTCTAGACAAAGAATGAAAATGAAATGAACTCCACATCGAAAGCACGATTGTCGGGAGACAAATTTGGTTGGTTACTAACATAATACCTTACAAATCGCTTTTGAATCTCATACTTCATCTAGCTTTTCTAGTTTTCATACGTACGCGATACGTTGAATAAAGTCTAACGTTTTGGACCGTCCCCGTTCTCTTTTCTCGTGTACTCTGCCTTGGTACTGCAATTTATTCAACATATGGCAATGGATTGTATATTGGGCCAAGAACGGTTTGATATTGAACCCGGCTCACCAGATGCTGGCTACCAGGCAGTGGAACCAATGGTACAGAACTGTTCTCAGCCCCCTCAAGTCAGTGGATAATTTAAGACCCGACAAACGTGGTATGCGGATTTCATACATATCTCCTACTGTCTACGAACGTGTAGAATGTGAAACCTAAGAAATGGCACTGGAGACGCTCAGTAACCTCTACGTGCGCCCTAGAAATGAGGTTTTAGTCTGTCGCATCCTCACCACTACCAAATAGGATGACTGCCAAACTCCCAATCAGTTCCTTAAGAAGTTAAAGGTCCCTCGCAAGAGATAACAGCTTCAGATCCACTACCCCAAAGGAAAACCGAGACGATGTTCTCAGAGATACATTTATTAGTGGGAATCCAAATAGATGAGACAAGACCTATCGGAAAATAGTTCGCTGAATTTTCAAGTGGTCTTTGATCAAGCAAGAGCCCAAGTCCTATCGGAACTTCCCCATTGACTTCCATACAGCAACTATAGGCGCACCCTCATCCGCCCTTCCACGCTCCCTACAAGTCTCCGATAGAGTACCCCAACGATAGCCGTAGTCTGCCCTAAATGTTTTTTTCTGTGGCTAACAGTGCTCCACAAAAGACAGCCTTTGCAAGGGTTGTGGTAAAAACGGTCACTTCCAAAGAGTTTGTGTTTCAAAAGGCCAACTGAGTTACATTGCGTATCTGCCGTATGCCATCCGTACCGGCAACTATCACGGCTAGCCCGTCCAAATCTGATGTGGATCTCGAAGTCAATGAAGTCCCTTGTCGTTCTCCGATCTACACTGGAAGTTTAGCAAGCTATGTTGCCGACAGTTTAGTGCTCCCCAACAGGTGGAAGATACTCCCATCCATCAGAATGACGTCCATTTCCCTATCTAGTAGTACAAAGAGACACTGTTTTATCCCCATCAAATACAAAACCCATGTCTATGAACGTTTCGAATTGTCTATACTGCGTGGCCTTTGTTCGGATGTTCTCCTCGGACATGACTTCCTCAGACTTCACAAGAGCATTTACAAATCATATAACGAAGCGAAGATTCCATTTACGGTTTGCTTACTCAGACCTGATTTCATAGTGTCGCCGTCACTTTTCTGGAATCTGTCTGTGCATTGTAAGCCTGTCGCTACAGAATCTCAACGATACAGTAAGAAAGACCAAACATTCATACGCGAAGAAATAAATCGACTCCTGTCTGACGGTATCATTGAAGCCTCTAGCTCGCCGCGGCGCTGTTATTCAGTAATGAAAAACACAAACTTAGAACGGTGGTGATGGTGGTGGACTATAGCCAAGCAATCAACGAGTTCACCAGTTTGGATGCACATCCACTTCCCAGATGCGACGATATGATAGAGAACGTAGCTAAACACAGCATTTTACCACTCTGGACATCAAAAACGGCACACAATCAAATTTCTATTCGAGTGGAAGAAAACGTAAGTACTGCTTTTAAGACATGAGAACCTTTGTATCATTTTCTTCGTATTCCTTTGGGAGTTACCAAAGGTGGTTCAGGTTTCCAAGAGGGCTATCGATGAGATAATCTCCCATATATATATATATATATATATATAATATGCAACTAATGCGCCGAAAACTGCAGCTAGCCGAAGGATGGGAATCACAGATAGACAAATCTGAAAGAAGACGACGCCAGTCGCAAACTGATATCTTGTGAGTATACCTCACACAGAAAGCTATATGAAGAGTAAACAATTTACTGCTAGGACGGTTCACAGGAAGAACTTAAACGTAGCTCATAAGTGACTAAACCGCGAAGCGGACGAGGTAAGATGGGTAAGAACAATAAAGACAAAACGGTGCGGTACCTGGGGCCTTCTCTCGACGATGGGACAAGTCTGCGCACTTCCTTGGACAGCTAGCGCCCGCCTAAGCTGGGTATCCTTCAACAGAATAGGTGTAGTCCCGTCCACGTTCGCCTGTCTCATTGGGTGCATGAGGCTAAGGGCTGATCCACGATGATGTACCAGCGGACAAAACACTGAACAGAAACCAGGTGGCCTTGCATGACAGGTATGTAGAAGTTCCCACACGGGTGCTTCGGTCACGCTCCCGCGTTGAATTTACGCCCCACTGCCTTATGGGTCAGACTTTTGAGTCGAAGGCTCCGGTTAGAGTTCCCAAAGACAAACACAAATCTCCGCTGCCTTGACGGATAGACTTCAAAGCCAAAGGCTCCAGTTAAGGTTCCCAACGGAAAACCCCCTAGTCGGTGTGGGCTACCGTGAAGTATGTTATGCCCCAAAGTCTTAGGTACCATTGGAAAACCTCTTTCTCATCTGTCCAGTACTTCTTCTCACTCTAAACTTTTAGAATATACATTCTCTTTGTGCCCCACATCGATATCACTCGGCTTCAAATAAGAGAGTCAACCATCCAGAAGCTATCAGACTTTTGAAACCAAAATCTCCTTTGTAATTGGCTGCATTTATTGTCCGCACACTATTAGATCGCCCAACATTGTCGAGTTTTTAGACATCAGAACGGCTTTCGACTCTATCGATCGCACCGCACTATGAAACTGTTTGCGGAGATACGGA